GAATCAGCTCTGGACCAGGAATGATCCGTGTAGTCATAATAAAATATTATTTGAAGTATGAATTAAGGTAAAATTAAAGCAGAAGCTCAGCCCATATTCTGTTATTCACAGTAGGTAATTCTTTGTGATACTTCAGTAGCATCTCCTCAGGCAGCCTTTTGGACTATCGTAGACAATAAGACCAGTCAGCAAGATGGTCTCTCCTTACACTGTGGAGGGGAGGGGAAGTTTCACACCATCAGAGTATGAATGAAGGAGCAAAATCTCAGCCAATGAAGCTGATGTGTAAATTTCATGTTGCTAAGCCTAAATTGGTGGACTTCATATGCCAAGGCAGTACAGCAGGAAAAGTGACTTCCAAGAGGGTATAAGAAAGTCAGTCTTGACATTATGGCTAGATAGTGTTAGCTGAAACTTGGGGTTTTAAAGTAGGTTTCGTTGTCTTACAATTAGTCAAGCTAGAAATACCTTTTTAATGGTAATGTTGAGGGACTTTTAACAATGCTAAAGGGTGCTTATGTATTGCACTGCTGCGGAGTTATGCCTTGGTATAATTTCATAAAATTGACCAGTCATGTGGACAGAATCCTTAAATTATCACAAATGTCATAGCACGTTAATGCACTTTGAGAGACTGCAGTTTAAATGCTTGCTGGGATCACAACCAAACAAATAGTGTCTATGGTTTTAGCTCTATTATAAAGGTCACTTGCAGTTTAGCACAACTTGATGCATTGAGCAGCGTGTAGAGAATCTCTAATTGGAATAGCAAAGGGTCAGAATAGAAAAGCATTGGCAGAGCTAAAAGTGAAAAAATTCTCTGCCACAGATACAGTTAGTTTTCATTAGCACTAAACTCCTCCTCCATAGAATTACAGGAGAAACTTGTAAAATTGAATCAATGAAGAACAGTCTATGAATTCACAGCAGTTATTTCTCTTACAATTTCCTGCATTTGGGTTGAACCTTGTATCCAAATAGTCCCAGAACATTTCATATTTTGTCCCCTACCACCTCTGAGGCAAAACACGATGACTTTGGAACCCTCGCACCAATACTACACAAAATTCAGAATGGAAAGTGAAGAACATCTGCATGTCTAATTCTCTGTAGGAAATGCCAGGTACTTAAGGAGCAATTTGAGAGTGCAAATGTGTTCTCCCAGAGTTTCTCTTGATTTGTGGCCTCATTTGCAGGTGCTGATCTTTCAGATTACTTTAATTATGGGTTCAATGAAGAAACATGGAAAGCTTATTGTGAAAAGCAGCGACGACTTCAGCTTGGACTGGACCCCTCTCCACCTATCAGCAGCGAGAATAAGATCACAGTAAGTAACCTGTTACCCAGTGTGTGTGCCACACAGGCCTGCTCCTTTTGTGCAAGTTTAAAAATGGAAGCTGATTTTAAAATGTGATCCTGAAATATTAACTGAGGCAAGATGTCAAGAATAATGGACATAAAGGTTTTTTTAGTGGAGATTTCATTTTTAACTTCCTCCTGCTAATAAATTGTTCCCTTGTATGATTGAATGAAACACTATAGCAAGCATGGAGATTGCAAAAAGAAAAATCCCCTAGTATAGGGAGACTTGGGTGTATTCCCAAAAGACAGTGCCTTCAAGGTTGACCAGCACTGCCAAAGCCCTCAGCTGAGAGGATCATGTGTGAATTTAGTGTTGATGAGAAGTGGACTCTGACCTGAGGAAGTAACTATGGTATGAGGAGCGTTGTTTCCTTGGCATATCTGTCAACATTTCCCCAGCTGTGTAGCCACTTCTTGTGGTGTGGGCTCCTGTCAACCATAGCCACCATGTATTTCACTTTGACCACCAAATGGTCCTTAGATGGTATTAGCTTTTGGTCATTTTGGAAGGATTTACATGGGTGAGGTAAAGGCAAAAGCCTCCATATCCAATTTCCTGAATTAAGGACCGGAAAAACAGGAACAGAGTCAGGTGAGGTGTATCTTAGGGCTTCTTTTAGGAATTAAAAATGAGGGACCATAGGCCAAGAATGCAAGCTGAATGGTTTTTCCAGACACATGAGATTGGCTGAAGATTGGAGCTTTATTTTGCGTGAACCTTATCCACTTGATCATTACAGATGTATGTTCTGCTCTGTTCCTCACTCGAACCTCATTCTCCTACCAAGAGCAGACCATCATGACACATGTCAGCTGGTAACCAATGACAGAGATGTCTTTCTTTGTATTCCTTAGGTTCAGCAAGGAAGGACAGGAAATGCAGAGAAAGAACCAGAGAACAATATTATCAAAACAGAATTCAAAACTGATTTTGTGACTCTGGTGGGAGGGCGCATGAAGGCAGGGCCTCCACCTAATAGGTAAGGGAGTATATGAAAACTATAATGGAGGTTCTCTGTTGTAATGTGCAATTTTTTTTTTGTTAAATAATGGGGCAAGTGGGATCCTACTATTTCTTTTGTGTGAGTCTCTTACAAACCCCAAACAAGACATTGACTTTTTAAACTATATTGGGTGCTGCTCTGTAATTCAATAGCTATCACACCCCATCAACGACAGTTATCTAGTTTTGGAATTCCCCCTGCCATCTCCATTTCCCTATACTGTTAGTATCCCCACTGTTACACCGTGTGGATGGTTAGGCCTGGTGGTCACCCTTGCAAAGGGAAGCTTTGCAGAGAATGGGCCTAAGACAAGAAGGTCTTCCTGCTATGGACCTTCAGCTTGTTGGATTGCTGGTTCTTCCAGAGCCTGGTCCATCTGCTGTTGAAGTCAATGAGTCATTCCATTATCTTTATCCAGGGCTGGCTCAGGCCTAGGTAACTGTCAAGAAGCCACTTGGTTGCTGAACTGCCTACTCTGCAGCTAGTATGATTTACATATACTGGCAGTTGGATGTTGGTATGTTATGTTTTCTCTTGAGTGTCGATGGTTCAAAGCCTACTCAAAGTAAAATGGCTTTTAGTAATTTTAATAGGAAACATGTACTGGACATGTCATCTTCCTGACAGTATGGATATGATTTTTTTTATAAGGACCTTTGGGAAAACTTTTGGTTACATGAAAACAAAGCAGATTTTTTTCTTATTTTAAAAATCCATGTTTTGCATACTCAGCTGATCATACCTAGAAACTAGTCCTGTATCTGTCTCTTTTCAGTGGAGGCTTTGAGTAGAATGAGAAGAGAGGATCTCAGAAGTTAGCACTGAATTATTCATACTAAAAGAACTTTAAAGTTACAGCATACTTCTTTCTGCCTAAACAGTTAATTTACTTTTTTTTGCATTTCATGCATTCCCAAGAGAAATCAGATTGATCAGTTTTACTTTCGGCTCTTGCATGTGATGCTATTCTTTCCCAAAGTGAGTGCCAACCCAATCTGCTCCTACTCTAATGAAAACTTTTCTTTCCTTAGTGGGCTTTGTAAAGTTCCCTTTTTCTTTAATAATAATAATAATTATTATTATTAATAAAACACACACCACATGCTAGCCCTGACACATTTAGCATGGAATCAATATTGGCTTTAGCTAGAGATTTACCTAGAGTGCTTAAGTACCTGTGGTTTTATGGCCACAGCACATCTCTTTGTTGGCACTAGGATACATGTCATTAAATTGGCTGTGTTGTGCTACTGTACCTCAACAGTCAGTTTGTGTTTAGTCTTGTTTTCAACAAAAGCAGAAATAGTAAGGGCAGTAAATCTCACTAGCTTTCTGTTCAGCTCTGGCCCTTCTGTCACTCATTTGTGCCAGCATTATTTGGTGGTGTGTCCTTTATTGTTGATTTAAAATGCTATAAACTCTTTTTAATAACTTCAGCAGTTAATTAAAAGCTCACGTGGCTTTCCAGTAGAAGCAGACTGAGATTTCCTGGTGGAGTTCCACTCAATAAGGGGCTGAAACAAAAAACAGGACTATGCAGCACTTTAAAGACTAACAAGATGGTTTATCAGTAAGGGGCTAGCCAGGATGACACGGACCCAGGTTTATGTCCTAACATCAGGTACTGTCACAAGTCATGGCAAATTCACAGCCTTTGGGAGGAGGGAGACTCTGCATCTTAAAGGATCAGGCCCTTCATGAGCTGCCATCTCTGCGCAGAGAACTATTCTCTCTCTCCAGTCCCAACTGCCTTGTCCCTGGATCTTTATTATTGAGAATATTTACATACACCTAGGATCTTTGATTCCTAAAAATCCCTTCAGCTCCTCTTGCTTCTTCTGCATCCCCCAAATCCTCTACTTGTGACATCACAGCTGTGGAAATAGCTGTCCCCTCTATACGATACTGAATAAACCACAGGAAGATCCAAATCCTTGAGAAACAAAGATCCTGGACTGATTCTGATCTAATTAGAGTAACCAACAGCAGAATCTGATCCCCTGTTTATATGCAAATACCCTATGTTAATAGAGTTCCCAGTCTTGCTCCCATTGAAGACAATGGTAAAACTCACTGACTTCTTTGGGAGGAGAACTAGGCCCCACAGATAGACAGTCAATGTGTCCAACAGTCAGAATTGTAATGAAAGTATCTATTTTAAATTCATGGTCCATGATGTTAGCCTGAATCCAGCATAAAATAGTGCAAATTTTGGGCAGTTTCTGGTCTGACAGCCTCAAACACCGAGCAAACTACATCCCTACTAGATCTGGCCACAAGTGCATTGGACCTGATCCTGCAACCTGTACTTACCTGAGCAGTCTGTTTGAAGTGCAGGGGAGTGACTGCTTTCAGAGTCTGAACCTAAGAGATGCTCAACATCTCCCTCCTCCTTCAGAGCTGGTAGAATATTCTTCATGTCTCAGGATCAGGCAATAAGTGGTGTCTAAGTAGACTTAATATACTTCCTGCAGCCAGAATTCAAGTTCTGCACATACAGTAAAGGATTCCCAACCCTTGTTCTGTGTTTCTCTGTCAGTTTGAGCTCTGCCTGGAGTGATTTTCCCTGAATGGAAAAGATGTACTTGGCCTTTTTGTTTTCAGTCTCCCAGCATGAGAGCGTGCTCTCTGTTGGTGGGGGAGGGGAGAAAGAAAAACTGTTACTTCTAATTTCTGTGCTGAACCTGAGAAGATATATCTACTTTGTACCAGGAAGCTGGGTGGGACAATTGATGTGATTGGTGGACAGGCAGGCACTATTAGGCGGGTAGAAGGAAGACGCCGCGATAAACACGCCTCTGAGGAAAATCCCATTCAGGTAAACAGCTTCAAGCTGTCTTCAAACATTTGATATCCCATGCACTTTGAGCAATTGTCTGCACTTTCCTGACTGTCTCTTTCTACAAAACATGGGGTTATGATTTAAAGGAACACTATCAAAATTGCTAAGTAAAGCACCAGTTGTAACGTGCACATGCTGTTGTCCATCCCCCTCGGCCCCATTGTGGGTGGAATCAGAACTCAATGGTATCATCAGCCCTACACTGCTAATATTTTCCTTATTCCTCCCCTATATCCTCCCCACTTCAGTGGACCTTCAGTTTCTTGAGCAGGAAGTGGACAGCAAGCTCCTCACTCCCATGGTATTCACCAAAGTATTAACTGAAGTTCATAGATTTTTTTTTTTTTTTTTTTGTAAAGCCTTACCGTTATTACTAGTGAGCTGCCATCTCTGCACAGAGAACTATTAAACCTGAAAGATTTGTTACAGTCCAGTTTACTTTCGCTGTCAATTGCTGTCATTTTACTTTTTTCTCATGTTGGACAGTAAAACTAGTCGGGTTATTTCCCCTTTCCATTCCCATACATTACCCTGCTATTGTTGTATGGGGGCCACACAAAAAAAAATCAGGTTAAAAACTGTGGACCTGTTCTGATATCACTTCAGTGAAACTACAGTGACTTTAGTGGTGTCCTCCCCAGTATAAAACCTGATGCCCATAATCTGCTTGGATGCTCAGCCTGCAGAAGCTAGGGGTTTTTAGAGAGAACCTTCTGACCAGAATAATTATTTTTTAACTGTTCCCTCCAACCCCCAAAAAATTAGTGTGTATGGCTTCCCCCAAATCCTTTTATAAAGTAACAATGTTGGTAAAGTGCAAACAAACCTTTTACTAAGGGTAGGCCCCAGTGGTGTATCAAGGCTAAATCTGCTTAGTAAATTATGTATTCTTCTCCTTAATGAGCGCTGGTATATGCATATCGTAATCATTTTGAGCTATGCTGTATACTGAGACTTAAAATAGTGGCAAGGTGAATGTAAAATGCCGAATTCTCTTGCCAGTTAGACTGGTGTGACTCCAGCTGTGCTCTGTTAATTTTGATGGTAGATTTATACTGATGTAACTAGGCGCAGAATCTGACCCCTTTCTGAATTTATGAAGAAAGGAAATTGGATGTACTTCAAAAACAACTTTTGGAATAAAAATATATGTTTTGAGAGTTAGCATATCACCACTTGAATGGGGCTGCTCTTATTTTGAGGGCTGCAATGTGTGGGGCCTGATCTCAAGAGTGGCTGAGCCCAGCCCTTCTCTGGATCTGGTTTTTGGTTAGTCCTAAGGCTATTATTAGAGGCATGCAAGTGACCCATTCTGTCATAATGCTGCGCATCCCTTGGGGAAGGGTATCTTTCGTAGAAGTAGATTTGTATCTAGCTTGGAATTTACTACTTGCCGATGTTCATGCTAGAGTAGATGTGTGTTGCCAGAGCATTTTCTTGCATGCTGAGCTTGTGACCTTTCCCCAGTAGTGTCTGAAAGGCTGAGATTGTCCTTGACTTCCCCCTCCCTGCGATGCTGGCTGGAATGCACTGACTGAAGGTGCCATGGGGTAAAATACTGTCGTCTTTTTTTTTTTCCTGTTTTTTTTTTTTTTTTTAAGGTTCTTGGAGATCATGGAAATAAGCCACAACCCCCACAGCAGCCCCAACAACCATCACAGCCCCAGCAACCACCTCAGCAACAGCCGTTTGCACCACCAGCAGGTCCTCCACCTCCCCCAATTGCTGGGCCACCTCCACCACACTTCCTCCACCCTCCCCCTCCAGTTACTTCTGTCCCACCTCCCCTGCATCCTCCAGGTAGGTATTTGAATACAGAGCAATCTTGATTGCCCAGCTTTCTCTGGGTGTGCTAAGTTTAGATACCTGAGGCTTGGGGAAAGCAAAAAGGAATCTTTAGAATAATTGAGAAACATTAAGGGATATTTGAGCAGCTATGTATCAGATCACTGAGATTCAGCTAGCTCGAACTGTAACTCAGACAGTTGGGAACATGGGGAAGCTCTCTAATTCTCTCCTCCTCTCACACGTGTACTTCTCCAGCCTTTTGCATACATATTCCCTCATTCCTCTTGAATGGCTCTAAGTGCTACTTTGAGACACCACCGACTTACTGAGGAAACTACGTAACATCAGTAATCTGCCTGAAAATACCCTCCTGGCCACCATGGATGTAGAAGCTCTTTACACAAATATTACACATGAAGACGGATTACAGGCCATCAGGAACACCATCCCCAATGACAGCACTGCACACCTGGTTACAGAGCTCTGCGACTTGTCCTCACCCACAGCTACTTCCAATTTGGAGACAATTTATATCTTCCAAGTCAGCAGCACGGCCATGGGCACCCACATGACACCACAATATGCCAACATCTTTATGGCTGACCTTGAACAACATTTTCTCAGCTCTTTTCCCCTAATTCCCTTAGTCTGCTTATATTACATTGATGACTTCATCATCTGGACTCACAAGAAAGAAACCCTTGAAGAATTTCACGGGGATTTCAACAACTTCCCCACCAATAACCTGAGCCTGCATCAGTCCACACAAGAAAACCACTTCCTTGACACTACAGTATTATTAAATGATGGACAAATTTCCACCACCCTATATGGGAAACCTACTGACCGCTACGCTTACCTTCATGCCTCTAGCTTCCATCTCAGACACATTTCTCAATCTATTGTATATAGCCAAGCCCTAAAATACAACCAGATTTGCTCCAATCCCCCAGATAGAGACTAACACCTACGGGATCTATATATAGTGTTCTTAAAACTGAAATACCCACCCGGTGAAGTGAAAAAATAGATCAACAGAGCCAAAAAAAGTACCCAGATATGAACTACTTCAAGACAGGTCCAGAAGAGAAAACAACAGAATTCCACTTATCACCTACAGTCCACAACATAAACCCCTCCAATGCATTAACAACAATCTACAGCCTATCCTAGAAAATGACCTCTTACTGTCACAGGCCTTGGGGAAAAGGCCAATTCTCGCTTACAGACAACCCCCTAGCCTCAAACTAATTCTTTCCAGTAAACATTCAATACACCTGATAATCATCCAGCAACCCACCCCTGAAATCAGCTTCCGTGCCAACTCCGCGCACACATCTATACTAGCGATTTCATCACTGGACCCAATGACATCAGCCACCAAATCAAAGGCTCATTGAACTGCACATCCACTAATGTGATCTGTGCTGTCAAATGCCAGCAATGCCCCACTGCAATGTATATTCCCAATCTCTATGGGAATGAATTAATAGACATAACAGATATCCGAAAAGGCAACACACAGGAACCTGTTGGAAAACACTTTAATCTTCCTGGACACTCATTAATGGATCTCCCAAATCGCTGTTTTGTTTCAGACAAATTCTACAAGTTAAATACGCTGAGAAGGATTGGAACTTAACTTCATTCACAAGTTTAATTCTTATGCTAATTTTCTGAACTGGGATATAGTATGGCTCACACACTTTCACCTTTTAATGACTTAAACAACCAAACAATGTAGGTGCTAATGGTTCTTAACAGTGCAAATAGTTACAAGAGGCTATCTACTCACTGTCTTTTTCTTCCTCCATTCCCCTTTTTCCTGCCCTCCCCTCCCCCATTTATTCTTGGATCTGGACAACTTATACTACAATCATCTGAAGAAGTGGGTTTTGCCCACGAAAGCTCATGATATCTACTTCTTTTGTTCGTCTTTAAGGTGCTACTAGACTATTTGTTGTGTTTCTTGTTTTGTTTGTCACTGATATCACTTAAATGCCATGGTGCTTGGCATTTTACATGGACAAATAGAGTAGCAATTTCTATTAATATTTGAAGGAAGGTAGGAACATAAGATTGCCCTATTGAATCTGACCTGTGGGTTACCTAGTCCAAGATCCTGCCTGACAAATACTTCAGAGGAAGGTTAGATTATTCCAGAATTATCCATTATGGGATATCCTCAGAGGAAGTTGCTTTGTTTTTCTTTCTAAAGTTGGGTGGTGGTTAACTTGTGCCTTGAAGTCTGAGGGTTCATATCCCTTCTACATGTGTATTATACCTCATGTTACTGTGGGATATTACTTGCATAAATTTCTGAGCGAGCATATATTAGCATTCTGCCCGTATTATTTTTCACTTTCAATACAATCATGTAAATGTACGTGCAGATAAGGAGCCTCCCATGGGCTTCTGACAAGCAGTCAATATCCCTCAGTGTACCAAGCTTGTGCTTCCTTACAGAAATTGAATAGACTCTGGAGATTTCACATATTTATCTGTCATTGATACCAAGGGGAGTTTTGGATCAGCCTGGTAGAAAAACGTGGAGGCAAAACCAAGGTGGTTTGATCATTCATGGGCGGTTTGCCTGCTGACTGTCTAGGTTGTGGACAATGTCCTATTGTTTCTTTTCTCTACCTAAATACTTGGAATATCAGCAGAAATCTGAAAAACCCTTTTCCATTTACTACAAAGAAGGCTATGCCTCTTCCACTGAAGCCTAGACCTTGCATAGTAATCAATGCCTTGACCATTGGTGGGCTGGAATGCTGAAATGAAAGTCATGCTTTGGACTTTACCTCATCCTTTGTGCAGCAGCTAGTCTCCTGATTGGAAGAGGTCAACAAGAGCATTTCACATTAGTACTGCTTTCTCTTTGCTGGCTCCCCTTTCTGAAGATCCAGAATAAATATTACTGCATTAGCTGAGTGGTGGATGAAATAATGGCCTCCCTGGTCTTTTCTGCCTTATTTCTGTGATAGCTAAAGGGGGCAGAGGTGAATATTTTTTTACTATATATTCTGTTTGCTGAAATATACCTGGCCTCACACAAACTTCTTGAAGAGGATACTACTAAACCAGGTTAATTAGCCTGCAGTAACCAAAGGATGTTGATTTCTTTTTTGTTTATTTCCATAGGCTTGCCGCCACCAGGTCCCATTCCAGGTAAACTATTAATTTGTTTTAACAGTGGTAGTGAGTCTGAATAGTATATATAAACAGTCCTATCTGAGTGTTTAAAGTATAGTATGAATTGACTGTGTCTTAACTTGAGGTCAGTCAGATTTAGGCTAACATAAGCAGTGCAATCTGACACCTTCAGCTGTTCAGCTCTTTAAGCTTATTTAGCTCTTTAAAAAGTGATCCAACAGTCATTTTATTTTGGAACAGTCCTGAAAGTGAGAGCTTAGTTGGCAGGGGGCATCATGAAAGCTGCCTAGGGTTTCCAAAATTTTACTACCTTGTGCTTTCATGGGATCTCACATAATGAGTCCTCTACCAAATGGAAGTGCTTTATGAAAGATTTCAGAGATTGTGAGAACAAGGGGGTAAGAATGGCCATTTTCAGAAGAAGTCATCTTTTCCTTGATGTACGGTAGAGTAGAACAATCCCCAAACTTTGAGGAGCTTCAGAATCTGATGGGAGTTTCTCATCTTATGCTCATCTCAGTGTAAACAGTATTGCCAAATGGGTGGCTCTTGCTATCGAATATACCCTACTTTTAATAAACTTGGATCTAGGGAAATTACCTCTAGTAAAGCAGAGTACAAATTCCAACCTCCTGCATATTGCAGTTGTCAATTGCAATTCTGGTTCCATCTAGATTGAAGTTGTGAGGGGGGAAGGAGTGACTTTAGTTATAGTAGAAGCTTCCAGTAATGTAATTGGACTGAAAAGTGTAATGTATAAATACCCTTAATTTTTTGGTTCTACAGTAATTATTAGTGTGTCATGCACCCTCCTTTAATTATCAATACTTTCAACAATAGCAACTGTTCTAGAGGGATGAATTTTGCAAGTGTTACATTTTACTCTAGTCACTATCCACAGATAAAAATCTTTCAAAAATAAGTGGGAATGTTGATGACGGATTGTCCAAATAACTTAAAACCCATTATTTTAAAACAGACATTTACACTGGAACAAATGAATGGTTCACATACTGTGATGCACCTTCCACGATAGCGGCTTATGCAAGCATTTCTTATGTTTCAAACTGGTAAAATTTTCAAAATCACCTAAGTCTCTCATTTTTTCAAAAGTGACTTAGCCACTTTAAAAGTCAACGGGAATTAGAAGTCTAGGTACACAACTCACTTTTAAAAAGTGGAAAGAGATCACATAGGCCCTTCCAACAGCCATCTAACTATCTAGTTGGTGCTCCGCCCTAACGTAGATTCTGCCTTCTACAGTGTAGTTATGGTCAGAAAAGTGACTTCCTCCCCCCCAAGAGTATAATAAACTTCCATTTTTCATATTGCATTCAGTCAATGTACAAATAAAATGGTCACTCTATTTACAGTCAGCCCTAGGGAATTTATCCTAGTCTTCAGTACTCCAGGGGACTGCACAGGGTTAATGTTTCACCGTGTACTTGGGTTGATATTTTGTTGATGATGCACAAGCCAGAGTAGAGTCTGGCTCCTTATCCTTTAGTTGTGCTCTCTCTCTAGGGAAAATAAGAGAGAAAAGCAGTAGAGTTTCAGAGCTGTATGCCCATAATTGAATACACTCCCAGGTGTGAGATGGCGGCGTAAGAAGATGCTATTTCCACATACTGTTTAATGCAGATTTGCTCTTATCACCAGAAATTAGGCAGAGTTTAGCCCCATGCTGTAAGCTTGCTGCTGCCTCATCTTCACACGGTGCTTTTATTTATAGGGCTGTTCCCTCCACCTCTGGCTCCTCCACCAGCTCTCCTCATTCCAACACTCGATGGGTAAGACAGAAGCTTCTTTTGGGTAGATAACTTTCCATCCTGGTTTTGTGCAGCCAGCTGCAGCTAAACAGTAGAATGGATTTCCACTGAGTGGGAGGCATAGTAGGGAAGCAGGAGTTATGTTTCTTTCACTGTATTAAGAGTTGCTAAGGAACAGGGTGAGAGAATATTGTACCTAGGTGTGCTGTATGATGGGGTGCCAACAGCATGGCCGCATGGTATCCGGGAATGCTAGGTTTATGTTTAGAGTATTCATAGAGTAACTTACCATCTGCACCTGATTTAGAAGGGGAGCCTGACCAGCCAGGTTAGTAGTGAACTCTTGTTCCAAGGCTTTAAAGCTGTTGCAGCAGACTGCACCCTTGGTCTGTCAGTTTACTGATATCTAGCTATATCACGTGTGCTAGGATTATGTTCACCACCAGTACTAGAGTTGTACTGTCACTTTCATGGTGCTATTAATACCATTTTGCATTTCCCTGGCAGTTTCCATCTAAGAATCTTAGAGCATTTTGCTTCCATTAATTATTTTTCATGAAGCATTTAGTTGCATTGTGCATGTTGGGGAGGGTGATGGGGCACTAGTGCTCATGGAGATAAAGGGCCTGGCTCAAGGAAGTAGAACAGGCAGAGCCAGGACTATACCTTGAATTGCCAGACTCCCAGTCCACCACACTGCATCTTGCCTTAAGTCATTTATGAGGTGAAAGGATGTGACTTCTGGTCGTTTTGCATGATGAAAGTCCTGTCTCTCCCTGCTGCCAGAGCTCTCCTCCAGCCTCAGCCCAGGGCAAGGGAGCAAAATAGGCAACAGCAGTTAGGAGTGGAGATTTCTTGACTTGGAGACCATGAATATTGGATTTCAGAGGATAAACAAAAGGAATGACGTTGGGAGGAGACTCATGGCAACTAGGGTGAGGGATCCTTAACTCACAGGGCCCAATGGAAAGATTAACAATAAATGTATTGCAGATTCCTGCTTTGTATGCTAAGCTGGTGGCAGGTAACTGATACTAGTAATTGGTATCCTTGTGTTCTCTCCAAAGCCAGCCTGCTGGCTACAGTAACAGGCAGCCACCACCATTTGGATACAGCTCAGCAGGTAAGCACAGAAGACACAAGACAGTGGAATTAACTGGACATGGGGCTGGCCAGAGGGTTGTTGGTAACTTATCCTTGTGCTAGGCTGACCTGTGCCTCTGTCACCATGACCTCTGGAGCCCTAACTGTACTCCAGACAGCCCAGTTGCTGACAGTAGGTATTAGTAATGGACCCAGCAGTAAACTTTCTACAGTCTTAAATCAGCTGCACTCTCTGAAGTGACTCTGATGCAATTGATGGTTGTAATTTAAATAGCTCTCAGTCCTGGTTTGGCTGCCCTCAGCACCCAACTCTGATGTCCGCAGTAAAGAAGCTTCCCAGTACAGCTGTGGTTCCCTGTGTCCCTAGTCCTGGTTTCTTCTAGAGAAGAACATCTTCCCAGTCAAATTTCAGTCTTCTCTAGGAGTCTTTGTCCCCATCCCAATTTAGCTGTATCTTTCCTCCTTGCTTGCGTCACACACACACACACACACACACACACACACACACACGCACACGCTGCCTAAGCACACTTGCAAGTATTGGTCTTCTTTAATCTCTTGATGAAAGAGGCAGTGATCGTGTTCCAGTAGACCACCTTTTCCGCTGAAATCCTGCCTGAGTTGCCCATGTCCTTTCCTGTCTCTTTAGTATTCAGCTGGCTTCTGTCCTGGATCAGCGGCACTCATAAACAGTGTCTATTCCTATCTAGCAGGCAGTACTGTAGACTCTCCTGCCCTTCTGGATGTAGGGACAGGAGAGCGTGGCCATGAGCCATCCAAGAAACCGTAGCCTTCTAATAAACTAGTATTTCCTCAAACAAACATCCCGCCAGCAGCCTGTACCATGTCAGGCTGTGTCCTTGATGACCCTTTCCAATGGAGCAGTGTCATTAGCAGCTGAATGCTTGAATAGGACACCTCCAGGGAGCTTGGTGGTGCTCTGGGATTTCATTGGCACTCTTCCCTTAGCCAGCCCTAAGATCTCTGCATGATATTTGAAAGCACTTCTTAATTCAGCATGTAATAGAGAGAGAATCCTGGATTTCTCTCCTGCAGGTACCAGCCCTGACTCTGCAAGGGGTCAGAGGCCAGGCCTCTTGTTCTCTGAGCTGACTGGGAATCTAGAAGATCAAACCATAGACTGCAGGATGATCAAAAAGAGAACCTGCCAGGGCTTCTCAGGATCCTCTGTATTCTCCTCCCTCACAGAGAATGTTGGCTGGGGAAGAAAGAAATTATGGGGCTTCTTAGGAGAGAACCAGTAACATGGCAGAGTGAGCTGCTGTGACCCACAAAGGGCAGGTGTCAGCAGCTCCTAATTTAATATCCTTCATTCCTGGGAGAGATTGCAGCAGCATCTGCCAGTTTCTGGCCTTGGGAAATGATGCTTAAAACTTGTTAGAATATCATGCATGATATAGAAGGGGGAAATCAGGGTCTCATAGGTAAAGAGGTAGGGGTTGGGTTGGTGCTTATTCAGAGGGAGGAGAATTACTTCCTGATCTAGCAGTCCCTCTAAATAGAGCACTCGTGTGTTCCTGGTCCCGTCCCAGACCTGACCTAGGCTAAACCTGCCTAGGTTGTAGGGTCTGACAAAATTGCAACCTAATATGGCCTGGTTGAACCAGCATAAGGGGCGGCACTAACCCTTCAGACAAGTGAAGGTTCTACTCTCTCACTGCAGATTCTGGTTTCATCAGCTACCCTCCTATCTCTACGTCTCACACGCCCTGGGTGACGACAGTGGATAAGGGCACGAGCAGCTCCAGCAGCAGCCACTGGGAGTCCTCTGGCTCAAGGCGCGGGAGAGAGGGGGAGCGGGAAAGGGAAAGA